CTCCATTCTCCTCTCGGGATCTTGGGCACGCACGCACACGCGCCCGGCGTGAGTTTTAAGCCACCGGGTCCAGGACACGAACCGCGGTCGACTACGTGGGAATCCAGCGACATAGCCTTTACGCTAACTGCTGGTTCCCTATAGTAGAACTTTTATTTGATGATAGAAATCTTCTGCATTTTATAACATGTAGCCACCAGCACCTAAACTAAAGCATTTGGGAGAGTGACTTTTGTGTAGATTTTATCACGAATGTCTTCAGATTCAGCCAACCTTGTAGGAAGAGAAGGGTGCTATTACTTCTTTTCTCCTAGCACTGTCACAGCATTCCTTCTCTACCCTTTCCCACTGTCCCCTATCAACAGGGCTCCTTTCATAGGTCCTAGTTTCTAACTTAAAATCAGCTTTTTAAAAATATCTTCTGTCTTCACTGCTCCTAATTGGTTTGGACATCAACAGGAACCATGACACCATTTAGTATGGTGATGACGCCAGATGCTTTGTGTTAACAGCTTGTACATTAGAAGTAAGCTTTGTGACTCATTACGATATTAGAATTTTTGAGGACGTTTGGCATAAGTAATAGCTAGGTGCCATTTCCGCTGATTTCCACACAGGTGCTCATCAAGTATGTTAGATAAATAAGATGTTCTTAAATTTAAGATTATTTAAATTTTTAGTTTGTTTTTCATACCCTTTTGTATTAGTCAAAAAGGCCACTGTTTTTTACTTGGCTTTTAAATTGATTTTAGATAGTCACCAAAGGAAGGCTATAGAAGAGCTCTTCTTGTCCTGATGGCTGGTCTATACTAAGCAGTACTTTTGTTGCAGATGGATAATGCTCAGGATCTGCTTTCCTTCGGTGGCCTTCAGGTGGTGATCAATGGACTGAACAGCACAGAGCCCTTGGTAAAGGAGTATGCTGCATTTGTGCTGGGGGCTGCCTTTTCCAGGTGAGCATCTTGGACGGACATCCCATTGACCAGGATTATTTTGTCTATTGGCTTGGAAGAAGGTTTACTTGAACTTGTACAATATCTACCCATGTTTCAGCATAATTCTACTAAAACAAGAGTAAGATTCTACCCTTACTCCAAGTAGATATGAATTTTCCCCTAATTTATCACCATCTCTATGACTCTCTATTCCTTCTGTCTCAGATAGATGGACATTTGAGAGCACATCTTAGGTTACATTTGCTGTTTTGTTTAAAGCTAATAAAAGACCAACCATAGATATTAAAGAAGGAGAGGAATAAACTCTAAGAGTTGATCCTTTTGGCAGTAAAGCTAATTCTGGTGATAAATAAATGATCAGCCTGACCAAAGAAAGCCTTTTGGGGGGAATATGTCTTTTACTAGTTGTCTAGAACCAATCAACATGCAGTCAAGTTATCACCCTCTCTGGGATGGGAATTCTTCACAATTTCCATTAGTCTGGCTTGTGCTAGAAGATTGATCAGGCAAGAGGAGTGGGTATGCAGCATCTTGAAAGAGTAGCTGCAGAAAGATATGTGGGCACCACATCCTTATACTCATCCTGAAAAACGTCAGGATGTCTTCATGCTGCACGTGATCCATTGGAACACTGTAGTTCCTCCCAGTTTTGAAAATCTCTTCCCAGGGCCATTTGTGCATCTAAAACAGGAAAAGATTCTGATTCTGCTACTAGGGCATGGGTGTGGCTATTAGGGTCTGCTTGCCTTGCTTAGATCCAGAGGTTGTGATGTTGCAGGAGAAAGATTATTTTGAACGTATTTGTCATTATTCGTTATAAGCTTTGTTTTAAAAAGATTTCCTTTGCCTTTTTTCTGTGTTTATTTAATAGAATCTCAGTCTGATGCCCTGTCTTTCTTAAAGGATTTAGCATCTTTTTTTAATAACCTGAGAGGCAGTGCCAGAGTGGGGAAGGTGGGAAGAATTGTTCCAGGAGGAAAGGCTCAGAGCACAGCACAGGCTGCCGGCCTTTGTTTCCCTTGGCCTTTGTTTCCCTTGTCACAACTCTGGTTTGATCTTCAAGCCCTGATTGTCCTGTGGTGGTTGTTGGCAAGGCTCGGGCCTCCAGGGCAACTCCACCTACTTAGTATCACCTCCCAGAGCCAGAGTCTCCCAAGAAACCCAGGGAGGTCTCTTCCTGTATTGCCACTGAAAAGGAGGAGAATCTGCGTTATGATTGGCACTTGCAGTTTCAGTCCAGGATCTTAGCGGCATAAGACTTTAAAGACTTGGAAACTTAATAAGGCATACTTTTTGCTCCTTAAGCCAGAAAAGAATGAAATCAAACATCAGTATTTTCTTTCTCCAGAATCTTTTTGGAAATCTTTGCCTTGTTCTCAGATACTTTCTTTCTGTCTTTGATATGAACAGATTACCCCATATATCTCTTGTTGTTACTTCTAGAAATGCATTTTTAGGAGGAGACTTGTAGTATATTCATGACTCATCTTAGTTAATGGGGACTAAGTAAGTAATTTGCACTGGGCCTGATTTTAACAGATCATAACTCACCAAGAGATTGTCCTAATAGGTGGTATTACTAGGACTTTTCTGTGATTATATTAGTGTAAGACCATGTTAGCATTTATACAGCATCCCTAAAATTTAGATAGCGATAAATATAAAATATTGCAATTTAACGTTTAGGTGGGAAGCAAACTGCTGTATTCAGAATGTTCTAGCTGGATTCTGATGGCTCACTAGAGGGCTGTTAGAGTGACAGCATGGTATGGCGCCAGAGCTTTCTGACGCCAACAGCAGGCTCCCAAACACCATGAAAATGTCAATGTTTTATGCAAAGAAGAACTTAATGCAAAGTAAGAATATATCTTTGTAGAGAGGCAAGTTTCAGTTGTCTGGTCTGATATTCATTATTTACTCTTAATATCCAAGTATTGGCTCTGTACCTCCCTAATTTCTCTCAGTGTACAGATATGTGCACACAGTAATTACATGAGGTTGCTCTTTATCAGGAGGGCATTCAAGGGGTAGTGAGCACTCTGAAATTATGGAGTTCCATGACTGGGGTATTACCTAAAGGTCATTCTTTCTGGATTTTTGCTGATGTGCAAAACTCAGTCTGTCTAGATGTTTGAGTATTTCAGAGGAGTAAGCAGACCGCTGGACCTAAAAATCAGAAAATCTAGACTGAAATCCAATTTGTACTATTTTCTATGTGTGTACTCATGGACAACCTTTCTAAGCTTCACCTTTTTCATTTGCTAATAAGAAACAGTACTAGGTGTCCCATGTGTTTCATAAAGTTGAATGACTATTGAATAATGTGGTATTCAATAATTCTTATGAAAGTGATTATAAAATACCTGTCAGTGATAAGATGATATCAACATCATTACCCTCATGATGTTGTGTCCTTTTTACTATAAATTTTCACTGTAAGTGAATTATTATTTTTTTAACATATAAATCTTTTTCTTAACTGCCAGAGGACATGTACATTTGCCAGAGAGGAGAGAAAATATCTCTGCTCCCACCCCCTCCCCCCATGGGATGTGATCATGTTACAATCCTTTTCCCTCCATTTCTCCAACCTGTCATACATTTAGGCACGCACACACATGTGCCCAGTTTGTTTTTTAAGCTGCCAGGGCCAGAATTCCAACTGTGGCTGGCCACGTGGGATTTGGCCTTCTGTGCTTAACACTGTGCCACAGGGCCAGCCCAACAGAAATCGCTCCCCAGGGGGGATGGTCACGCTGCAATCCCTTCTCCTTCATTCTCCTCTTGGGATCTTGGGCATGCACGCACACGCGCCCAGCGTGAGTTTTAAGCCACCGGGTCCGGGACGCGAACTGCAGTCGACTACATGGGAGTCCAGCGACACAGCCATTACGCTAACTGCTGGTTCCCGCCCCAACAGTACAAATTTTTATCCTCCTGATTTTCTCTTCTGTTAATATATTCATGTTCTATTATATTTCTTTTTTTTTTTCTTTTTCTTTTTTTTTTTTTTGGAGAGGTTTTCGCTATAGGGCGCGTGCACTCGCCAGACAGACAGAGAGAGACATAGAGACAGAAAGCGAGAAGTCACCCCCCAGGGGGGATGGTCACGCCGCAATCCCTTCTCCTCTATTCTCCTCTCGGGATCTTGGGCACGCATGCACACGCGCCCGGTGTGAGATTTAAGCCACCGGGTCCGAGACGCGAACCACGGTCGACTACGTGGGAGTCCAGCGACATAGCCATTACGCTAACTGCTGGTTCCCTTATATTTCTTGATGCTAATCTTGCTGCTTCATGAGAATGTTTCTCTTTTTTGGGGGGGGAGTGGTAGGTTTTTGTTATAGGGCATATGCGCTTGCCAGAAAGAGAAAGACAGAGAGACAGAAAGTGAGAAATCACTCCCTGAGGGGATGGCCACGATGCAATCCTTTCTTCATTCTCCTCTTGGGATCTTGGGCATGCACGCACACATGTCTGGCATAAGTTTAAGCCACCAAGTCAAGGACTCGAACCGCGGTCATCTACATGGGAGTCCAGCGACATAGCCATTACACCTACTGCTGGTCCCCCATGAAAGTGTTCTTTGCCTACCTGGATAGTTAATTAATAAGGTTTCCATACACATTTCTGTGGATGAAGCTATCTCTTCCCTGGTGTTTAACATGTAGCAATTATCTCAAGATTAAGAAGAAAGAGTTGACATAAATGTGATTGACATAGCCACTGACTATTACATGACCGCTGAAATAGTCTGTTTGTTTACTTAAATACTATTCCTATTCACACTTATTTGTGGGCGATACACACACATTTTCTGTTGTATTTACGTATGTATAAGGCAGGTCAAACTCTTACATATGAAATATGTAGAATGGGATGCTGTTGCTTTTAGCTCATTTTTTTATTTTTTTAAAACTTTTTTCTTCTTCATGTAAGTTATTTTTCATTGTCCTTTCTGTAGCTTGATTTCATCTTCTGATGGCACCTGTGTGTGTCTTTCTTATGAGGAGTCTATGGAGTCCCAGACAAGTTGTAATGTGTTTAGTATAAGGGAAGTTATAGAAAAACCTTGTGAATTTCAGGTACCATGCAGCTTTCTGTAATATTGTTTGGGTTTTACTTCTCAGCAAATTTGCTACCTGCTTTTGTTTTCTCTTATCTCCCTGTTAAAGTAGAAATTTCTATTTTATTTATTTTTTTAGAATTATTTAATTTTATCGTATTATTTTAAAATTTGTTATAGGGCACACATGCTTACCCGTGAGATACACAGAGAGAGCGAGAGAGAGGGAAAGTGAGAAAGCAAGCCACCAGGTCTGGGACTCAAACCCTTGTTAACCATGTGGAAGTCCAGTGCCTTAATCACCATGCCACCTGCTGGCCCCAGAAGCACCACGTTCTGAACTAGCCATACAAGTGGAGCCCTGGGTTTCCCTCTGAGTAGACCGATTTAGATCATCTGCACATCCCTAACCTGCACACCACAGTGAGGAAGATGTGATTTCACTGATTGATTTAGGGCAGAGAGCTCCTCCCTCCCACTTCCCTCCTTTTGGAGCTAAGGGTGAGATCATTTTCATTGGTTTTCAATGGGAGCCCCTGGGGAGTGATTTCTCGCTTTCTGTCTCTCTGCCTCTTTCTGTCTTTCTGGTGAGCACACATGCCCTATAGCAAAAAAAAAACCTCCAAAAAGAGAGAAAGAAACTGGTCTGTCTATATCAAGTGGCACTGTCTTTGCTGCTCTCACGTTCCTGCCTCAGTCACTTTTGTTGTTGTATACCCATCTTTTTTTTTTTTTCACATTTCATTCACAAAAGATCTTAATTAATCTAAAAACTTTCAATAGCAAGTGCAGTTGATATGTACATATCTATGACCACATGTCTGACTTTAGGTGTAAACCTCAGTGAGTAGACTGAACATACTATAAAGTAGCACCTAGGTGGGACTGTACAGCTTACTCAGTCATTAAATAGGTATTTTTTTATGCGTTT